GAATCATTATGAAAATTATAACTGTAGAGAGAAGTTAGAGAACTGTTATGTGAGCTAGTCCAATGAAGTATACATTTTAAGACTTTTAAAAATAATCTTAGTTGTTTCCTGGGTTCAAACTCAGGGATAAAACATTAAGGCGATTGAAAATTGTCATTCCTCATAGTCTGGAAATATTTGGTTAAAGAAAATATAGTATTAAAATTAACTTCATCTGTTTCCTTTTATGGTTTTAATGTAGCTACTAGGAATCTCAAAATTATATCTGTAGCTTGCGTTATATTTCTACAGGACCGTGTTTTCTAAATGATGCAAATGTCAGATTTTCTAGATAATTATCGATATGTATTTGATTATCCATGTGGGACAACTAGGGGCCCTGCTCTGCTTCTGGAAAAGCCCTGTGACCTCAGACAGGTCATTCATTTTTTTTCTTTATGAAAATGGTGAGAGATTTGGACCTTTCATGCTTTGTAGATTGGTCATATCCAGTCTCATGGTATTAAACCAGCTGACCCTGATGTTATGTTTTAAACTCAAAAACAGCAGGATCTCACCCCTCCCTGTGCACACGACCTGCAGCTAAACCAGCCTTCACTTGCTTGTGCATCTGAGCCTGGCCCCCAGGTTCTGTTCATGGTCCACACCTACATTTGGACTTCCCCTTGAACTGCTTCTCCCATCCTGACCTGACTTCCCTCCTCTAGGATGGTTCAAATTTGACGCTTAGACTCTGCGGTTTCTGGCCATTCCAGTAAACAGCCACCTGATCCAGTAACGACTCTTGCACAGCCCCATGGGGTCAGGGCCTGCCGGCCTCTGTCCTGAAGCACAGGCTCAAGGTGGCTTCCCTGTGCCCAGAGACCTCAGACCCAGCAAGTCAGGCAGAGAGAGGGAACAGAGTCCTTTATCAGAAGAAAATGGAAACAGAAACAGACCTTCAGATGTCAAAAGCAAACTTATGGCTATCAACAGAAAAATGCGGGGGAAGGGATAAATCAGGAGCTTGGGATGAACATAGCGACCCTTATTATAAGACAGATAACCCACAGGACCTACTGTACAGCACAGGGAACTCTACTCAATATTCTGTGACAACTACATGAGAAAAGAATCTGAAAAGGGATGTATATATGTATATGTGTAACTGAACCACTTTGTTGTACACCTGAAACTAACACAACATAGCAAACCAACTTTATTCCAATAAATTTTTTTAAAAAGGGAAATGCAGTATCTCAGAGTGATGCCCACACCAAAGGCTCTCATTTTAAATAGCTTCCTTCTTTCTAAGTTTCTTTGAAAGAGGCACTCTGAGGAAAAGCTCATTTCCTTAAAATATCAAAGAACTAAAAACCAAAAGATGATAGATTTTTTTTTTCTGGAGGCAGACTGCAAAGTGTAGAATAAAATTCTGCAAAGTGTACCAACATACATTCCCAAGAATCCCTCTCTGCTACAGTTGTCTACCACCCTCAGTATTACATTTAGCTGACTTAATTTTCCATGGATCGAATTTATTCAAAGTTAAATTTCTCATAATAGTTCATCTGAGTAAAGAGTTTCAAGTGTTATTTGCCAAAAGACAATGTTTCCGGGCTCGAGATGAAATTGGCAATGTCAGGCTAAGAAAACAACCTTAAAAATTCTCAGAGGGCTGGAATGATGACAGAAAAATTAGAGCCTGGACCTCAGTCTTTTTCATACAGGTCTGGAGGGAAAAATTACAAATTCACCAAAACCAGGTCCTTGAGGGGGCAGGGAAGAATGCCATTTAAAAGAAAAATTCAAAAAAAAAAATCTTAGATGTCTTTTTGATTTTATTTATCTATTTATGAAAGCACTGAGTCTTCATTGCCTCATGGGCTTTCTCCAGTTGCAGTGAGGAGGGGCTACTCTTTGCTGTCATGCTCGGGCTACTCATTGTGGGGGCTTCTTCTGTTGTGGAGCACAGGCTCTGGGCAGGTGGGCTCAGTAGTGGCAGCTCACAGGTTGCTCCATGGCATGTGAGATCTTCCCTGACCAGGGATCAAACCTGGGTCCCCTGCATCAGCAGGTGGAATCTTACCCACTATGCCACCAGGGAAGTCCCTTACATGTCTTTAAAGTGGCAGCTGTCCTATGAAAAGTGGCAGCCATATCAAGCTCGCCACACCCACAAAGATAGCACAGCCACTGTCCAATGGGCCAGGCATCCTGGTTGTCCCCTGGACCATGATCTGACTTCCTGGTTATCAAAGAGAGGGAGCGGGGAAGGGAGAGGGGGAGGAAGGAGGGGGGAGGAGGGGAACATGGATGGCAGAGGGATAAAAGGATGGGGAGGGCAGTAGGACACAGAATTCCGGGAACACAAAGCAGTGACTTACTAAGGGGAACTGGACCTGGCGTCTTAGGGGTGGAAGAGTTTTTGAGTTCCTATTCTGCCCTCATGCAATGGAAGGGACAGAGGGTTAAACTAAGTCTGCTTCCCAAGTGAGGAAGCAAGCCAGCCCTGTCCCCCAACCATTCCCACAACCAGAACACAAGTCAACCGATCACCAGCCTCCCAGTCAATTTCATTCTGATGGCCTGTCCAGCCAGGGGTTCCAAGGACACAGCCTGAGAATCCCTGTGACATCAGAGGGCACCAGGCATACTTCACAACAAGAGCCAAGTTAACTCCTGCCTGTGACCCTGACACTGTGCTTCCCTTGGCCACACTGGCCCCCACACACTCAGGTCCCCATGTGGACACTCAGCACCGGAAGGAAGCCCCGACACCATCCCTGGGAGCCGTGAGTGCCCTGCTCTGTGACACCACCGTGAACAGCAAGGAGGCCGGTCCAGAAGGCTGCTTCCAGCCTGCACTGGAGCTGCAGGACGGAGAGCTCTTGTCTGTTGCCACCCCCCACCACTGCCGCCCCCCCTGGATCTCTCCTCTCCTCCTTGCCCTGTGCCCCCCTTTCTTGCCAACACCAACAGGTGCTGGCTTCAGCTCTTCTTAGCTGGACATCTGTTCTGCCTGTGAGCTGAGTCATTCCTGTCTCGCGATGGCATTTCACCTTATTCTTTTATACCTGTCACTCTGAGAAATGCCTTCTGTGAAACAGTCAGCAATGCCACTCACAGCGAGCCAGCACCATCTCCCCCAAAACACAGTCCCAACTCCAGGGAACAGAAGCCTCCATTGCTTGGCCCTGCACAGAGCTGGACCCCAGTCCCAGAGCTGGGCTCTGTACCTTGTCTGACGCCATTCTTTCGCATCCAAAGGTGTGCCCGCGGCAAGGCTGGGCTCCTAGAACTGAATCTCCTGTCTCCTGACGTCCCAGTCACCACCCGCATTCTCATTGCAAAATGATGCTGACACACCTTTGACTGTAAGACCCGATCGGCAAGCAGGGTTACCAGCACAGCAGTGACCTGAAGCATCCCTGCCACTCCCCTTGGGCCAGGCCCCCACAGAAGCCCACCTCCCAGGAGACACGCAGCTCTGGCCACACAGTAATGGCACTTAAACCTTTGACCCGGCTTTCACTTGTTGCTCACGCAGCCCCCACGTGCTTCAGTGAAGGGTATTCTTTCGCTTTTACTCTCCAACTTAAGGAATATAGATTATGTCAGGTTGTAGGCTGTTTTTTGGCAGGGAAGGGTAATCTATTTTTAGTTCTTTCCAACCGTCGGAAAGGGAACCTCGATCCATCTTCCCAAAAAAAGCACAGACACACAATTTCACCTTCTGTAACCCGAGGGCTAAGGTTATTTGGGCTGCAATGAAGATTGCATATGTCCATCTAGGCTGATGCTTAAAATGAGGCCAGCATTTGCATGTAGGATCACTGGGTAGTTGAGCTCCCAGGCCCTTAAAGGGGGCACACTTGAGGCCCAAGACTACCACGTAAGGAAGGAAGAACCACCCCTGCCCCTCCCACAAGAGATCTGAGAACTCCATATCAGGGCTGACAATATGGCCATAGGCCCAGTCCATCCCATGAGCTAAAAAGTTTTTTTTTTAATTTTTAAAGATTATAAAAAGCCTTAAAAATATAGACAGAGCACAGGCTTTGGGTTCCCTGCATCAAACAGCAAACTCCCACTGGCTCTCCATTTTACACACAGCAATGAAGATGTTTCAGTGTTGCCTGTGACAATCTAGAGAGGTGGGATGGGGAGGGAGGTTCAAGAGGGAGGCGACACATGTTTACTTATGGCTGATTCATGCTGATGTGTGGCAGAAACCATCATAGTACTGTAAAGCAATTTCCTCTAATTAAAAATAAAATTAAATAATAAACATGTACTATAGACACAGTATCAGGTCTTCAAAGCCTAGCATATTTGCTCTCTGGCCCTTTTCAGACAGGGTGCCTGCCGCCTGATTTAAACAAGCGGACTTCATCCATCCAGAGGCCACCTGCCTTGGCCAAAGTCTGGCTGAGCTGAGTTCTGGTCATCCCAAGTCCCTTTGATCCCCTTCTGTTAGTTGTCTCTTAGAAGTTCAAAAACATTAGAGGTAAAATGTTCTGAGGAAAGGCATATTCTATTTGTTATATCAAATATAACTGCTGACAAACGAATATCCATTTCTTCCAAGAAGCTCAACATCAGAGGTGAGGGTCTGGTTCAACACCTGTGCCTTTACTGTGACAGAAACAAGGCTCTCAATTAAAAACCAGGCAGAGAGGACTCCGGGCATCAAAGCGAAGATGACCACAGGCCATCCTCACCCACCTGCTCCTGGCTTAGTGTCCCTCGGGATGGCACCAGCATCCATATTTTAGACCAGGACTTTGACTCACCTTCTACCCCACTGCCCAAGGAAACAAACACAGAGGTAGAAACACACCTAAATTGTCCCCCTGGGATCTTGCCTTTGCATTTCTTAGACACCTGCCCCTAACGTCCTCAGAGTCTCTCTGGATCAGAACTCAGAGGAAAACCACAGATCCGGCTCCTCCTGGGCTATGGCCACCACCAGTAGCCCCATCCCCAGTATAAAGGCCCCAGTGTGGCCACCATCTTACCTGGTTCAGTGCAGTTCTTGCTGCTCCGCGGTCCTGCATCTTCTGAAGTTAGCGAGTCATTCACCTGCATTAACTTCCTCCCCACGGTCCACTGTGTGTCTTGCCCAATGAAGTCCATGAAGTTCAGGTCTGGGGAGAGACCACAGCCACACATCACTAACAGCTAGTGTGACCCTTGCCCACGCTGGGTGCCCAGCGCCTTCAGCCATCAGCACTCAGTCCCGCCGACAGCCCTGACACCTCTGACAACTACGCTCAGCATCCTGTCTCTAATTCCAGGGGGGCTTCTCCAGTGCTGGATCCTGCCGGGCCCCCAGCGGCAGCCCTCAGCCAACGACTGCTAGGGGGCGGTGTATAAACACCTCACTGCTCCAGAGGGATGACTGAAGTGTGTGTTCTAATCCAGATTCCAGTCTACTCCACTGGAATGACTCTCCAGATGTCTTCAGGGCAACTCTCCTGATAAAGCACACTTTATTAGCTGTCATCCTGGAGGAGAAAATGGCAACCCACTCCAGTGTTCCTGCCTGGAGAATCCCATGGACAGAGGAGCCTGGTGGGCTACAGTCCATGGGATCGCGAAGAGTCAGACACAACTAAAGCAACTGAGCATGCATGCATTCCCTGTCTTAATTCTCTGCCCCCAGTGACATGCTGAGAAATGCTGAACAACCAGTTCTCTGTAGGAAAAGTCCTGACTTGTAGCCACTGGTCAATTTCCATGGTATAAATTAAATTCTCACCATGTCCAATTTCAAGATACCAATGTGACCTCACTGAATGTGGACTTGGGAAAAGAAAGGGCCCAGCAGGGTCCACTAAGTCAGTAAGACTGGCTCCTGATCACCAGCATCTGCTCCCCAACCTGTATGTCTTTGAAGGGAATTCCCTGGTAGTCTAGCGATGAGGACTCTGCACTTTCACTGCTGGGGCCCAGGTTCGATTCCTGGTGGCAGAACTAAGATTAACAAGCCATGTGGTGAGGCCAAAAGAAAAACAAAAAAGATATTTATATTCAGTATTTCCTTGAATCACCTCCAAAATAAACCGCCTGTAATTGAACACCTGTTCAGGATCTGCTTCTCGGATCACCCAGGCTAAGACACCATGTCAACATGCCCAGAGCCTAGGCTAACGAATCCTACGTAACAAGATTTCCACAAACATGAGATGAAGAGCACGAACCAGGGGAAAGTTGATCACTGAATGCACGAGTAGGGCTGAGGTCTCCGGCTGAGACGACCATGGGGATGGAAGAGTCAGGACAAAGAACAGACACGGAGGGGCACGGAGGGGACAATGTGGTGCCTTCTGCTCAGGATGTGTTGAATCTGAAGTGTCCGTGGACCATCCACAGGGTGGTGTGCTGCCCGGATAATGTGGGTACAGACACTGCAGGGCAACAGTTCAGCTACTCAGAACATCAGGAGAGCCATAAACAAGCAGTGAAGCATATAGCATGTGTATGAATGGGGTTTCCTAAGGAGAAGGAAATGGAAGAAGAAACCATGGGAAATTCAGCATTCCTCCAGAGAAAGCTAGTCAGAGCCTTCAGCAAGAGATCATGAAAAGAAAGAAAAGAGCAAGGGAAGTGGTGTCACAGAAGGTAAGCAAAAAGAGAATTTCAAAAAGGACAGAGGTGCCAATGGCCTTGACCATTATGGACAAATCATGTTAAAAATTTTTTTTAAAAATCATGCAGGAGAGTTGGACTGTGAAGAAAGCTGAGCACTGAAAAATTGATGCTTTTGAACTGTGGTGTTGGAGAAGACTCTTGAGAGTCCCTTGGACTGCAAGGAGATCCAACCAGTCCATCCTAAAGGAGATCAGTCCTGGGTGTTCATTGGAAGGACTGATGCTGAAGCTGAAACTCCAGTACTTTGTCCACCTCATGTGAAGAGTTGATTCATTGGAAAAGACCCTGATGCTGGGAGGGATTGGGGACAGGAGGAGAAAGGGACGACAGGGGATGAGATGGCTGGATGGCATCACCGACTCGATAGACATGAGTCTGAGTAAACTCTGGGAGTTGATGATGGACAGGGAGGCCTGGCGTGCTGTGATCCATGGGGTCACAAAGAGTCGGACACGACTGAGTGACTGAACTGAACTGAGGACAAATGTAAAATAACAACAGAGCAGGACCTCAGACAGTCCTTGGGTTTTGGAAACAGCACACAGGTGGCTCTCTCTAGTGGTTTGGAACTCAAGAAAGACATGACACGAAGCTTTGGCTACCTCTTGAGTGTCCAGAGTTGCTATGGTCAGAAAATGGATATAAGAAAAAGACAAGAGTCTAATTCATGGAACCAGTGGCCTTTATGAAAGGCCAGAGACTGGGCCCCACCCAGCTATACCAACCTAGTGTTCTGAAATGGTCAGTGAAGAGCTGAAGGTCATCATACCCTCTCCTCTATTTCCATGGCAATTCTAGTTTCTCAAATGATGTCACTTTCATTATGTAACTGGAACCTCGTGACACTGCCCTGGAAAGAAAGATGGAGCCTGATCACTGTCTCCTGGGTCCACTGCTGTCTCTCTGACACCAAATCACTGCTGGCTCAGAGTAGGTGCTCAGGAAGTTCATGCTGGAGTCACCATTCCCACTCAGTGAATGGATACGGTAAGACTTGTGGAAGTTTCTGGAAATCACCATGCATGTGGGCATCTCACCTAAGCCAACAGGACACATATAAGCCTGCAGCTCATGCACTGAGGTCTTTTTCAATCAACTGGAATCTGTTCCCACATGTAAATTTATCAAGCAGCTAATTACAACTTTACATGTTAGCCAGAAGAGCCCCTAGGTTTATTCTCTCTCTCTCTCTCTCTCTCTCTCTCTCTCTATTTATATATATATATATATAGACTGTGTTTCCAAGGCAGGGGCCGTGTGTTCAACCCCTGGTTGGAGAACTAAGATCCCATGCACTACAGAGAGAAGCAAAAAAAAAAAAAATGTTGCATATGCAGCCCAACTAGAATAAACCATAACTCAAGACTGAAATACAAAATACCTACATGGTGACCAGATATATCAGTTTAACCATAATTGTGAAGACAATCTTAAAGATATTTCAAGGTCAAAGCAAGACACGTGTATAGTCTGATTTACCTGAATGGTTAATTCTTAGGATTAAGGATAGTGACAAGCAGAGAAAAAAATATTGCAAAAATTCATAAAAAAGGAATAAGGTCAGTGGCGTCAAAATTCAATAAGCAGACTTAAAACACCATATTATCCTAAACAATCTCAGAGTGTGAAGAAAGACACCTCGTTTGTCTCAGGCTGGGTTTCCACAGAAGCAGCCCCTGAGGACAGAGACTTGAGCACAGGTAGTTTACCTGGAGGCGGTGATCCCAGGAAGCACCCATGGGGGACAGGACAATGGAACAGGGTGGGGAGCCAGCCGGTGGAGGTGTGTTTCAAGTTTGAAGCTAAAATGCATGAACTAGAGCTTGACCCCTCTGGAAAGCTCTAGGGGACAGTGTAGGTATGCAACTCAGACACCCAGAGGGTGAGGGAGCTGGTGTATTTACCCACCTCCTCTTGGTCTGCCATGGGTTGAATGAAGCCTATTCCCAGGGGACATTAATTCCCTGGCACTTCCAATCAAGATGGACTCTGGTACCCAGTAAATGGCCTTAGATAATTAGACACAGGTGTTGAAAGTTGTTCCGAAGATGTGAGGACAAGTGATGCAGGCAGGATGCCAGGGGCATCGTCCCGCCTGCATGAGACCAACAGATTGACCTCTCTGCTCTCATAATCTGGGTCAAAGAAAGGTGTCCTGAGGGGCTGCAATTCTAACATTCAGGAAGACTCCAACATTTTGCAAAGAAGCAAGAGCATCCCTTCCAGTGACTTCCAAAGTTCTTTCTCAGGCCAAATTTCCATAGTTCTGTAATTCTGAGAGAAAAGCTGATACCAATTAAGAGATGTAAAAATAAAGCCAGCTATTGTAGCAGAAAATGAGAGGATTTTTTACACAATGATTCAATAGCTTCAGGAATTAGAGACTATTAAGGCAGTGCCTCTGGATTCCAAAATCTACAAACTTTAATCCCAACAAAAATATATTTGAGCACTGACCACTGATACACGGATGCAGAGACCAGAGTCTGAGAACATAACAGTGATGAAAAAAAAGCATTGTGTTCACTCACTTCCCACTGAGGACCACATGTGACAATATGACACCCCATTTCCTCTGTCCTCACAAAATTGCTGGAGAGGTAGGAAGGGGCAGTTGGTTCTCAGGTCAACCTTCCTCTGGAGTAAATAAGTTACAGTAGAAGTGATCTGCCTAAACTCAGAGCCAACCCATGGCCACATCTACCACCAGTTAATGGTCATCACAACAGCCATTTATTGAGTGTCTATTTTGTGCAAAGAATTTTCCATTCTTCACTATGTTTCATCTCAACAGTCTTCTTTTAGAACTGTTAACTCCGATTGCAAATAAGGAAAACTAAGCACAAAGAGGTTAAAAGACTTGCCCACGGTCACAGAGCAAGCAAAGAGGAACAAAACAGGGATCTGAATCCAGGTCTGGGGATCCCCAAAGGCCACCTTCTTGGTAGATTCCTGGAGAGGACGGAATCCATCTGGCCGTGTTACTCAGCTATCACAAGACAGATGCATGAGGCAGCCTGCACCTTACAACAGGTGACATCATCTCATGGGGTCTCCTTCCCCCAGAAACTCTTAGGAACAGAGGCAGGAGCATCACCAGAAAGAAAGCATCACACACATGAAAGAAAATGGTCCTGAACCCCACTGGATGTAGGATGCTTGGCTTAGTGTGGATTTCTCAGAGACTCAGCTGGTCTCTTAGTCACGACATGGAGGGTTACAGTCTCAGATTCAGGGAGCAGGGGCGGGTGGCCAGTGGGGAAAGCAGAGGGCTTTGGGGAGGTGCCCGCTTCTCTCCCCTCCTCACCCCTGGCTTCCCTGGACTTCTCCGCTCCGCAGGGGCTGCTGCTCCATAAAGCTACGCTTGAGCAACGTCAACAAAACCCCTTGGCCCCCCTCCACCATGTTCCTGGCTCCTCCTGCCAGGCCCTGGAAGTTACGAGTTGACCTAATTAATCCAGGGTGGGGGAGGGTGAAGAGGGAGGCAGCAGGC